GGCGCCCGACCTCCACCCCCCAGACTCCCCCAGCCAGCGAATGCTGGCTGGGGAATTCTGGGAGTTGAAGTCCAGACATCTTCAAGTTGCCAAGGTTGAAAAACACTGCTCTACTCTACTCATTTCTGTTTCTATTATTTCTATTTCTATTCCTATTCGCTCAGTAATCTTCAAGGAAAGTCAATGTCATTTTCAGGTAACTCAATTTAAGACCTAGAAGAAATTTTTTTTTATGGCTGCTTGTTACTTTTCTCAGCAGAGCAAGTAAGGCTCAAGATTTTTGGGAAGCTTTTCTCAACCAGCTAAAAAAAAGGATTTTCTATGATTCAGTTAATCTTCCGATGTAGCTGCTGGAACAGCTATTATTATTATTATTACACTCACCGACTGTTTAACAACATCTGCCCATTCAGGAGCTACACCATATTCAGAATTTTCTTTCAGGAATCTGCAGAGGTCTTTCAGCGGAGGAGCGAAGGCACCACCTACCTGTAACAGAAACGAGGAGGATATTTCTCACTTTACTTGCATTACATTCAGGTAGTCCTCGACTTAATTCATTCAGTGAGCGTTCAGAAAGTTACAACAGCTGTGAGAAAAGTGACTTCTGTCTCTTTTTCACACATGATCATTTCAGCATCCCTATGGTCACATGATCAAAATTCGGACACTTGGCAACTGGCATGTACTTACGACAGTTGCTGTGTCCCAGGGTCACGTGATTCCCCTTTTGCGACCTTCTGATCAAGCAAAGTCAATGGGGGAGCCAGATTCACTTAACAACCATGGAAAGGAAGGTCGTAAAATGGAGCAAAACAAATGTCTCACTGAGCAACAGAAATTTGGGGTGAAAGCGGAGCTCGGAAGGTCGAGGACTACCTGTATTGAAAGAGCCTAGCAACTATTTGTGCTGATATAATCTCATTGTAGCAAAGCAATTACCTTTCTAGCATTCCTTCTGTTTATCAGCTGAACGCGTTCTTCCCCAGTAAGGCTATTGATGTCCAGCTTATTAGGATTGCGGCAACGATGCCTTTTTTGTTTCGGTCTTCCTTCGTGAAGCTGCATTTTCTGTTATTCAAGAATATTTTTTTAAAAAAATAATGGGTCACGAAATGCTCTCAAATCTGTTTTCAAGTATTTCCAGGCTGTAGGATGGAACTAAATCACACTGGGACTTAAATGCAGAGTACCTATTTATGCAGCATAACGCATTTGGTATTGCATTTGGTAAGCTAAATAGTTCCAAGCTAGGCAAAACCCAAGTGTGTCTATACTTGCTTACAATTAAAACATCTACACTGAGAGATGTGAATCACACAGAAGGCAGGGAAAATTCAAAGACCACATCAGAGGTGCCCCCCCCCCCAAAAAAAANATCTCGGAAGGATGGAAGGCTGAGTCAACCCTGAGCCGGTGAGATTTGAACCGCTGAACTGCAGATAGCAGTCAGCTGAAGTGGCCTGCAGTACTTGCACTCTACCCACTGCACCTTGCTGCTTGAGGAGGGGGTGGGCCTACGACAGGGGTGTCAAACTCAATTTCATTGAAGGCTGCATTCAGGGTTGTGTTTGACCTTGGGGAACTGGGGTGGGCATGGCCAGTTTGACATCACTCATGTCAGGGGCACCTGTGTTGACCCAAGAGCTCTGCCAGCGAAAATGGCCTCCGGCAACCCTTTGCCAGTGAAAGCGGAGCTCGGAAGGGCTGCACACGGGCCGGTCCTTCACTGCTTCCAGGGTGGCCTCGTGGGCCAGATCTAAGCACCCCATGGGCTGCATCCGGCCTGCGGGCCTTGGGTTTGACAGCCCTGGATAGAAGACCTCCAAGGTCCCTTCCAACTCTGTTTTCTTTTTTTAAACTACAACAAAAATCACGTGACTGTTAATCCGAAGTGAAAATATTTCAATCTCCATTTCATGACAGTAAGCATTTGGCTACAACTTTACCTTGGGCCAGTAAGAAGCAGCTAACATATATCCACCTTGCAAGATACAATTCGAATTTGGTGTTCCGTTATTCATTTGGAAACTGTCCTGGGTTTCGTCCTGCACCGTGCTTATGGAAGCTACACTTTCCTCATCGTATGCTTTCAGGTGAGGCGTCCCTTCCCCTGGAGGAAATTTTAGATAATCAGTAACAACACATGCCCTTCTGCTATGCAGAGGTTTGACGGGCACAATTACACAAGACGCTTCCTAGCACTTCCTCCCACTCAATTTTGAAGTACATAGAAATAGTCCTCAATGCCTACGGAGAGAGTCAACCATTCGGGTCGTGGTTGTCCCAAAAGTGCTTTTTCCAAAAGGCAACTGGACTTCCTTGGAAACGTTTCACTTCTCATCTGAGAAACTTCTTCAGAACTTTGGGGAAAGCACTTTTGGGATAGGTACTCCTTGATTTATCACCATTTGTTCAACGGCCAATCAGAATGAAAACAGCATCAAAACGAATGGCATTTCTCAGTGGGAGCTCCAGGGCCAGGCCGGAAGATGAGGCCTTCCAGGAGAGGCATCTCTCATGTTCCTTATCAGACACTCCATCGGCTTAACAACCTGTGAGATTGCTTAACGATCAGGACATTAAGCGAGGTGTCAGTGGCCACTTTGCTCAATGACTAAGGTTCTGGTGCCAATTGAGGTGATAAACCAAGGATTATTTGTAAAATTCATATTGCATAACAGATGAGAGAAATTAAGTTAGGTAGAATTGGTTTAAGATGCAAGACAAAAGTAACAGTAGCACCATTTTAAAAAAATATATCAAAGGACAAATAATGCCTGCCCCACTATACACAAACAATATCACAATTACAAATAAAAATTTGAGAATCTGATCACCAAACACATAAAAATGGGCACGGGAACATTAAATAATTAAAGGAGATTAAACTGCATTGATGAATGTTTCCTTCTAGCTACAAAACATTCTGCCAATTTCTTTTGCAAGCCATCTAGGAAAGTAGAATGTGGCTCAACAGTATAAATTGCTGCTGATTATATCAGAAAAAAATCTTAGCTCCATACTTAATTTTTTCTTAATGGATGGAACCATAAAAAAAGTTATTAACTAGCTAGTATTCATATTGTCTTTATAAATATATAATTACCTAGCCTTATTTTGCTCTATAAAAGTTACTTTTAAAGAGTAAAAAAACATTCTAGTGGAAGAAACGACGACTCAAGAAGATTGATTGTTTTGCAGAGAGATTATATACACCGCGAGCATAAGGATTTTGTTTGGACTAATCCGGAAATTTATTTTCTCTTCCACACAAACACCATGCAGATTACAATGCAGATATTCTTCTGATTGTGCAGCTTTTTGGGTCTCACGCTGCAATTTTTAAAGATGCATTTCTGTGTCCATAGATAGAAAATGTACACATTTTCATGTGAATTAAAAGAACAACTTTAACATCAAAAGAGAGAGCAGCATGGAACGAAACGGAGAATGAACCAATGAATAACTGATTAGAGTACTTCTTTTTTTAAAAAAAAGAAGTCCTCTAATCTTTTATTCATTGGTTCATTCTCCGTTTCGTTCCATGCTGCTCTCTCTTTTGATGTTAAAGTTGTTCTTTTAATTCACATGAAAATGTGTACATTTTTTATCTATGGACACAGAAATGCATCTTTAAAAATTGC